AAAAAAACAAAAGAAAATTTACCTAATCCATGTGAACGATCATGAAAACTAAGTTGCACTGGCTTTGCCTCATTATGTGAACTAGTTTGTTTTCCTGTACGAGGACCTTTATTTCCTTCTTGAATATCTCTCAATGTTTCATGTACAATTTGTAATATTGGTAAACAGAATGCACCAGTTTTTCCACTACCTGTTTCCGCTGCCTAAATTTTAAAACAAATAAATTTTTTTCTTAATTCTTTTTATTTCCTACCATTAAAACATCACCACCACCAAGAATCATTGGTATAGCTTCACCTTGAACATCTGTTGGTAATAACCAACCCATATCATCTACAGCTTTTGCTATTTCAGGTTGTACACCTAATTCTGTTTCGAAAGCGTTCATTCTTTTTTAAATCTAGAAAACAAAACAAAACCTAATCTAAAAACCCATTATATGTTTCACTTCATTTAATGTTTTATCAGCTATTTCTTTAGCACGTTTACGTCCATCATCTAGAATATTTAAAAGATATGTACGATCATTCATTAATTTTAAATATTCGAGACGTTTTGAACGAAAATGTTCAACAATTATTTCTGCAAGACGTTTTTTAAATTGACCAGTATTATGATTATTTTGTTGTGCTTCATTAACAATACTTTCAATTGATTGACTAGTTATACCAGCATAGATATCAATTAAATTTGATACACCTGGTCTTTGTTCACGATTATAAGAAACTTGAGCATTAAAATCTGTTAAAGCTTTCATTACACGTTCTTGAATCATTTTTTCATCATCCATTATATCAATACGTGAACGTTCTTCATAATCAGATTTAGACATTTTTTGTTCAGGATGACGAAGGCTTCGTATACGAGTAGTTTCAGCTATTAAAATACAAGAAATATTTAAAATAAAACAAAGATAAATTACGAACTAGCCATCATTTGTGGAACAGGAAATATATTTTGTTTATAATAATGATAGAATTTTTCAATCATATAAGTGCATAATTGTAAATGTGGAATTTGATCTTCACCAATAGGTAAATGTGTTGTTTTGAATAGAAGTATATCAGCTGTTTGTAAAATTGGATAGAGAAAAAGACCTAAGGGTATTGAAGTTTCATCTTTGACTTTTGACTAAAAAATGAATGATTGATTTTTTTTTTAAGAAAAGAAAATTTTCAAAATACTTTATATGTTGGAATATGACCAACTTTTTGAACTGTAGTCAATGTACCAAGTAACCAAGATAATTGAGTATGATGATGAAGCTTAAAGAAAGAGATTTTTTTTTAATAATTTGGAAAATTAAAGCATGAAGAGATCAATCAAGAAACTATCGAGTATACGAGATACTTAATAACAAAAATTATTTTTTGTGAAGTTGTATTTAGTTTCGTCTCCATGAATCATTCAAACTTTTCATAAATTATACTAAAAGATAGAGAATTAAAGGTTGAACAAAATGAGCTATTCTAATATAGTAGAGCGTTGGACTAGCTCAAGCTTTATAAGATCAACAAGAATGAAAAATAAGTCTTACAATGAGTCTAAAATGTTCAATTGATAACAATCTCTTACATAATGATTTTGATGAATTTTCAGTCGAAAAACAAAAATTTTTAGCATTATTTCATTCCCATGGCATAAATTTAAAGCGAAATAAATACAACATTCGAAATCAGTGTCAAAACCCACATTGACTCAAACATATTTTAGAGAAATTTTTTTCCTGCGAAAAACTGACATTTGGGAGACCATAGATCAATTTTTTATAAAAAAACAATTTCTCAAAATGTGTTTGAGCCAATGTAGTTTTTCACGTTGATTCCTAATGTTTGTGTTTATTTTGCTTTACAATTGTGTTATGGCAATAAAAACTGCTAAAAGTGTGTTTTTTTCCTATTGAACGTTCATCAAAACTATTATGTAAGAGGTTGTTACCAAATGAACGTTTTAGATTCATTGTAAGAGCTATTTTTCATTCATGTTGGTCCTATAAAATTTGAGTCAGTCAACACTGTATTATATTGAAATAGATCATTTTATTCAGTTTTTAATTTTCTATCTTGTCGTAAATGATTCAATGAGACGAAAACAAACACAGCTTTAACAAAAAACAATTTTTTTTTTATTAAGTGCCTCGTATACTTAATGATATCATGATTGTTCTCTTAATTCTTACATCCGATTGTCGATAGATAATACTTCGTTTTGGATCTATACCACAAGCGATTAACGATGCAGCTGTTTCTAAGGTTGATTTCCTAAAAACATATCATCAAAAAAGATTTCTTTTTTTTTTTTTTTAGTTCTATTACTTCGTACCGCAATGCATCAGGTTCACGTGGAATAGTAACAGCATGTAAATCAGCTAACATAACAATTAAATTATCGCCACTATTTTGTAAATCGATCCATTTTTTAATTGCACCTATGAACAGAACACAAAGAAGATTGAGTTTTTGTTTTTCTTTATAATTTACCTAAATAGTTTCCAATATGTGGAACATTCGATGGTTGTATACCACAAAGAATACGTCGCTGAAACATCTACAAAAACGAAAAACAACAATATAAGATCTCAAAAATATGATGAATAATATGAAATGCATCAATTTGTTTTTTTTTTCAAATAATAAATAGAAATTTATACATTATTAATTAATGTTCTTATCGATAATAGTTGCATGAAATAATATTTCAGCCGTTTCAATGACTGTCTTACTTTCAATTAAATTTAATTCATTACCACAAGTATTATGAATATTAATTGATTCAGATGTTTCTAAAATGAAAAAAAAGCAAAACTTTCAATATCAAATCAATCGATAAATAGTAAAATTTACCGAGTGTTTTTAATAAAACTTGATGAAGAATAGAAATTGATTTTTCACAAGCTGACTGCAAAGAAAAAAAAATTCATCAATGACAAACAATAGAATAGACATACAATAAGATTATTCTCTCTGTGAAACCATGCAAGAATTAAAGCCGAAAATAAATCTCCTGTACCAGTAAAACAACCTTCGAGATATGGAAAATCAATTCGAAATATTTCATATTGATTATCGGAATTTTTTGAACTAGCATACATTTGTAACATAGTTTCTTTACCACCTAATTTTACTGCTGATATACTTGAAATAATAACACGAGTTGGACCCATATTATGTAAAGATTGTAATGATTGCCAAATTAATTGTTCTTTATTATCATCATGATTACATTTAATCTGTTTTCCAATTAATAGTCTAAACCAAATCAATCAAAAATTAAATAAGTAAATTTTTACTCACTCCATTTCAAAATCATTTGGTGTAACAATATCTGCTAGAGGAAGTATTACATTCTTATACATTTCAATACATGATTGATCGACATACTATGATATAAAAATGAATAATGATAATATGATTTTATTACTTACAAGTTCACCATTGTCACCTATTACTGGATCACAAACTAAAAGATAAATATAGTCAAATAGAAACGAAAAAAAATGGAATTAATTTTGTTTTTTTTGAGTATTTACGGTATTTTACATGAGGAGATTTTGATTTAATAATACGTACATATTCAGCAACAACATTTAATAGTTCACCAGAACCCATATAACCCGTTAAAATATAATCATATTCGAAAATTTCATTTGCTATTAAACCTTGAAATATAGCTCGAAGTTCATCGACACTTAATCGACTACCTTTTACAACATCATATCCTAATTAATAATAAAAATTAATTGTAAAAAGAAAAAAAAACAAAGAATTATAAAGTATATGAACCAGTATGATTTGAAAAATGAACAGAATTAATTACATCAACTTCGAAACCATAAAGCTAAAAAAGATTTATATTCAATATTATAACCATATTTTTGATATTAATAAAAACAAAAAAACACCTGTAGAATAAAAGTAGCACATTTATTACCAACAAATCCATGAACAACATGACTTTGAATAGATAATACTCGAGGTATTCGTTTAGGCTTAATAGACATAATGAAACAGAGATGAAAACAAAAGAAAACGATGTTTCTTGCTGCAATATGTTGAGTTCCAGTTACTTAACCATAATATATAACATGGACTTCAATACACACATTAAACCAGAGGTCGCACTCGATCACACTGAGCCCATGTAATGTAATAGATATTTTTCTCTTTCAAATTTCAGTGTATTTTACGATGCTAAACACAGAACTGTAGTAGACAATCGTTTAGTTATTTCAATATCAAATATTCAGCTGTCGTGTTAAATTTTTATCTATTGTCATCGTATTTTGACTAGCATTGCTAGAATTGACATGTGAAATACACAAATGAATGAAGTATTGTCGAAACAGACGATAACGTTCTTCATCTAACGAGAGAAGTCTTCAACTGATCGATACTGTTTTCATTGATATTTAGTCCATATGTTGAGCACATTATTCCAAGAAAAATCCTAAAATGGTTCGGACTGATGAGGCTTACTTCGATGATTATGACCATTTTACTGATTTTTTTGTCGTAGTCACTGGAACACTCTAAATGTTTTAATGAAAAAAAACATATTTTCTTGTCGTGAGATAGAATGGGTTAAAAAAGAAAGCCAATCTTTCTGGACTTTATAGATTATAAGACAAGTTTTTAAGAATCGATATCTTCAAAAGAAAACATTTTTTTTCACTGAAAAAACTTTTGGAATGTTTCAATGACCACAAGAACTACATATGAGCAAAATTTACGATTGAAAATCTGTTGTTCGATTTTTTCTTTGTATATCTTGTGCTAGGTGAAAAAAATCAGTAAAATTTACCATGTAAAAGATTTGATATTTTGTGTCATACAATGCTTTTGTTATACTACTAAAAATATGCAGATATACACCTTCGTTTAGTCATTTTTAATTTTCAAAAATCCGCTTTATTCGCTAATAATAAAGTTTGTTGTTAACAGTGTTGGCATATTGTCAAGAACGAAGTTATCTTGCATAAGCAAAAAAAAAGAAACATGGATGAGACCATAAATGAGCATATATGTGTCACTGCGACCATAATAAATATTATCATTTTTCGTATAAGAAAAAGCCTTGACGTGTACAGAATTGTTTTAAATAGACCAGAATATGGCATGTCGGTGATGATATTAGTAAACCTTGATTTCGATATGAATAATGATGACATTATAAAAAGAATTTGCTATTCAGCATAGCAAGTATTCCTTAAACAACAAGCAGTATTT